TCATTGTCAACTGTAATTTAACTCATTTGACTAGAATAGTAAGCTTTCTCTTGTATGTATATGCATGTGTTATACTTTAATACAATATACAAATACACATTAATTAATTGATACTAACATAAATTTTTTCCTCTGTATATTAATTTATTATATTACTACATACGTATATACATACATGTGTATAATAACAATAAAAAAAGAAACAAAAACCTTTAAGAGACGCATCAATTCAAACAAAATAGGAATAAAAAATGAGCACAAATAATACAATCTAAATTTCGTAATGAAGTAAACCACTAATAGATAATCAAAAAGTAGATCGATGCTATAAAATCTCTTTGTATTTTTTTTTTTTTTTTTTTTTTGGGTACATACTATGTAATCTCTCTATGACGTTGAATAACTTAATAGTACAACTAATTAAATAACGTATGATATAAAATTTCCTATCAAAGGAATGCTGTCCAAGTTTTTTGGAGTTAATTATAAATATTTAGATCATTTTATAGATTTAGAAAGATGGATTTAGACAACAATTATAAAAACATTTTTTTGAAGAGACATTATCTTGTAATTAAATATCTAAGTTATATTACAAAATATGTTATCGAGGCCGGTCCTATCATTTTATAGGCCCGGGGCAAAGTAAAAAAGAAGGGCCCTTAATATATAAAGTTAAAGTGTTTATATATATATATATATATATATATATATATATATATATATATATATATATATATATATATATATATATAGTTCAAAAGATTGTGTTAATTGAAAACAATTCAAGGATAACTTTGAATTTTTATTTACATATAATTTTTTTTAAGACTTTATTAAAAAAAAAAATAGTTGGACTAATCCTGGAGTAGTGATCATTCAAACTTTGGGCCCCTACATGAAGTTTAATTATAAATTAATTTAATCTAATAATAAAATAATAAAAACATATTAAGTGTCAATGAAGGTTGGTACCCTTCATTTATGTCTGTTTTTCTGTTATCTTTTTTTGATACATTAAGCTATAAATGTTGTACTATATTATTTTTTGGACAACAATGCCCCTACCGTTATAACTTCAATTATCTATTTCCATTACTCTTACAATGCACTTGCATGCACCATATATTTTCTTACCTTCTTTAATTATAATAATATATGTAGATATTATGTAAGAATATGTAAAAATAAATTATTAATCATACCATAATTATTAATATACTTTTAAATATATAATATGAATTCTACAACTATAAACTTTGTGAATTTTTTAAAAATTTATAAAATTTTATTTTTAAAAAAATTATAACTATGATTTTAACATTGAATACTAATGTTGGGCATTAGTTTTACGCATCGCGCATTGAAAAAATTAGTATTCTCTTATATATATGAAGTATCTATTAATTGAATTATTATATTAAATGATTGTAATGGTTAAGTGAATTTAATGTTAAATAGTAATTTTGAAGTTGTGGGTTCAAATATATGCTCATGCAATAAAATTTTTTTTTTCTCTTAACATTATCAAAAAAATAAAAATCCAAGTTAGGGGAGCCCTTTCAACATTGGGCCCTGGGCGGGTTCCCATGTTGCCCGCCCCTCTGGGCCGGCCCTGTATGTTATATATATTTGTTTACAAAGTATTTTATAGAAATATAATAAATATTAATATTTTGTTCAATAGTTACACATGATAACCTACGACACACATTTCACAACACATAAAACATGTAGGGAAAAAATTATCACTATCAAATATCAACATGTGCTTGTAAGATAAGGAGTTCATATTGTTAGAATATTTTATTCTAATCTTATTGTGTTCAAATACCATTTTGCCAGGGACAAGAGAACTGTCCCTCACTCGACATTACCACTAATTTAAGGGAATCTAAAGTGGCCAAAACAGCTAGCACGCTTTTGCCAAAGAATGGAACTACAATCCACAAGAAAAAGAGGAGAAATGTGGAGTAATTGTCGAGCTACCTATACGCTATAGCGCAGCGTTTTGTATATGTCTTCTCTCATACAAACCAATCACTTGGTCAGAAACAGCCCACACAATGGCCTGTCCAGGCGGGATCCTCATAAGCCGGGGAAGTAACCCCTTCCACAAAGCACGTATACCTTCTTCGGTACGGTGTATATAGTTGAGATGGCATGAAACAGTCCTCTGTACTTCAAATCACCCCCTGATCGGCTTTGAGCCATCAGCCTCGTTTTCACAACGTCGAAAGGTCCAGTGCATATAGGACCAGCTGTCCCTGCAAGGAAACCCGAAATCATAGACTGCCATGGCTGAAGGACATTCCCATTATCAAATGCATTCTTGGCTGTGAACATTGCCGCCTGGTTCGTCCCATTTCGCATAACTGTTGGGGCAGCCCCTGCCCACAGACCACGAATCCCGTTTTCACGAACAATCATTCGGGCACAGTGTATATACTGTATAGGCCCCTTGTACTTCTGGAGCTCAGGGCTTAAACCTCTCCGCTGTTGTAGTCGGATTTTCACCACCTGCATCAACATAACTAGCTGAGCTATCGACCTTAGACACAATAGAGATGTGACTTAGGGCCGCAATGATCAGAACCAAAAGACCAGCTATTAGAGCATGATGTAGAAGGGGATAATGTGAATTAGTCGAGGGCCTTCTGGTCTTTGATCATCTTGGCAGTTCCAACGGCTTTTGCCGCCCTTTCTTTGTATATATGCTCTTCTTGTATTCGTCTAACAGAATGAATGAAAACCATTCTCATCATTCTCTTATCTCAATTCCTCTCTGCTTTTTCCGTTCATCTCCTTGGCTGATCTCCGACATGGTATAAGAGCAAGGAAGGAGATCCTACGCCGGAGCAGTTACCGGCATGGGAGAAGCCAGCCAGCCGTCGCAACCACGAATGAATCAACCACCGATCAACGCTCCAACGCAGCGGAATCAGACTGAAGATGTTGAGAATCCTTTGTATCTCAACTCCAATGAGAATCCAAACACCATCCTTGTCAGTCCTCCTCTCAATGGCAGTTCGAACTATGCTTCATGGAGCATTCAATGCAAGTTGCATTAGAGGTGAAAAACAAATGGTTCCTCATCGATGGAAGCTTGCCGGCCTATGACTGAAGAATGTGTTACACATTCCGGACTTTAGATTCAACATTGTGTCAGTCAGTAGATTGCTACAAGACTCATCTCACATTTTGTTGTTTAACTCTGGCCAGTGCCTTCTCCAGAAAGCTGGGATGACCAGTGGTTTTGCTAGGGAAGAAGACGGTTTGTAGCTGCTGTGTCAACCACCAAAGATCAATTCCTACAGCAACTCTGTGATGAAAGTTGATAGTGCAGACCTTTGGCACAAGCGTTTGGGACACTTTCCCATTAATAAGATCCATCATATAAAGAATGTATCTGTTTCTTATCCTAAGCAATTGCCATGTAATGTCTGCCACTATGCTAAACAGAAACGTGCCATTTTTCCTTTAAGCAACACTATGTCAAATAAATGCTTTGATCTAATCCATGTTGACATTTGGGGTCCCTTCATGGTTGAATCTCTAGGAGGAGAGAGATATTTTCTAACGATTGTTGACGATTTCTCTAGATACACCTGGGTTCACCTCATGAAGAACAAATCCGAGACAAGGGCTATGATCAAAATCTTCCATAAACGAGTCCAAACTCAACATGGAGCAGTTATCAAAACTATAAGAAGTGACAATGGAAGGGAATTCAACATGAATGATTTCTTTGATGAAAATGGGATGGTTCACCAAACATCGTGTGTCAACACACCCCAACAAAACGCAGTAGTTGAGCGCAAACATCAACATATTCTAAACGTAGCTCGTGCTCTCAGATTCCAGGCTAACTTACCCCTTAAATTTTGGGGTTTATGTATTTTACATGCTGCTTTCATCATAAACAGGTTGCCATCCCCTGTCACTGCTTGGCTTAGTCCATATGAAAGGTTGCACGGAAAGAAGCCTAGCTTGGATAATGTGAAAGTTTTCGGATGCTTGAGTTATGCTGCTACTCTATCACAGGGCAGACACAAGTTGGCACCTCGCAGTAGACAATGTGTGCTCATTGGTATTCCAGCTCACATCAAAGGATACCTGCTCTATGATCTACAAGATAATTCCATCTTTATATCTAGGGATGTGATCTTCTACGAAGATTATTTTCCCTTTGCTGACAAAGTAGCCTATGCTGACAAATATCCCTCTCAAATGGATACTCCATCTCTGCCCAACATTCCTGTCAATAGCCGTGAAGAAGCTGCTGATCTAGGCATCCTCCATAGTCATGTTGATTCGATGAACGACACCCACAGCAGTATTGGATTGCCTATGATGCAAGATGAATCAAATCCTCATGAAACGCACACAGATTCTGCTTCCATACAAAATTCCCCCGAACATTATATGCCAAGCAATGAAGTCTCTTTACATGCTACTTCTGATGAAGAATGCTGTGAGGACACTGCCGTAACCATCCACAATGCTCAGCCAAGGAGATCTAGCAGATCTCGCAATGCCCCCTCTAAACTTCAGGACTACTACTGTGATGCCATTATGAGCTACAAGACATCTCCCCATTCTCTGTCGAAGGTTATATCCTATGCCAACCTCAGTCCCTCACATAAAGCCTTCTCCATGGCAGTATCCACAATTAAAGAGCCAAGAACCTACCAACAGGCCATGCAAAATGAATGTTGGAAGAAGGCCATGGATGCTGAAATTGCAGCTTTACAGGATAACCAAACATGGGAGTTAACTGATTTACCACCGAGAAAAATTCCCATTGGTTGCAAGTGGATTTTCAAGGTGAAGTTGAAAGCCGATGGCACGATTGAAAGACATAAGGCACGGCTCGTTGCTAAGGCTATACGCAGCAGCTTGGCATCGATTACCTTGACACATTCTCTCCAGTGGCGAGACTGAATACTATTCGGCTCTTCTTAGTTGTTGCAGTATCTAAGGCATGGGAAATTCATCAAATGGACATCAATAATGCCTTTCTTCACGGTGACTTGAACGAAGAAGTATATATGTCTTTACCTCCTGGTTTTCACAGCAACAAGCCGAATCAAGTATGTAAACTTCGACGATCTCTATACGGATTGAAACAGGCCAGTCGCCAATGGAACTCCAAGCTCACTGCTGCTCTAGTTCAGAATGGATTCCATCAGTCCAAATCTGAACCATCTTTGTTTACTAGAGGTATGGATACCAATTTCATTGCTTTGTTGATCTATGTGGACGATATAATAGCTGCCAGTCCGAGCATATCTGTCATCAAATCTGTTAAGCAATTCTTAGACAAAGAGTTTAAAATTAAAGATCTTGGCCCCCTAGGCTACTTCCTTGGAATTGAAGCTAGCAAAGTGAAAGGAGGCATGAATCTTTGTCAACGAAAATTCGCTCTGGACATCTTAGAAGAGGCTGGTTTCCTGGAAAGTAAGCCAGTACCAACCCCCATGGTTCAAGGCTTAAAGCTAGCTCGTAATGATGGCACACCCCTGGCAGATCCGACCATATTCAGAAGATTGGTAGGGAGAATGCTATACCTTACTGCCACATGCCCAGACATAGCATACTCCGTTCAACAGCTCAGTCAATTTGTTGATTGTCCTACGGACAAACACTTAATAGCCGCTCATCGTATACTGCGTTACATTAAATTGTCACCTGGCCAAGGCTTACTATATACTTCAGATTCTCAACTTCAGCTCAGAGTCTTCTCAGACTCCGACTGGACAGCATGCGGTGACACTCGAAGGTCCATCACCGGATATTGTGTATTTCTAGGTGACGCCCTTGTGCCATGGAAATCCAAGAAGCAGATGAAAGTGTCTAGGAGTTCCTCCGAAGCCGAATACAGAGCCTTGGCAGCCACAGTCTGTGAGGTACAATGGCTTGTCTATCTCTTACAAGACTTGCACATCCAGCTGGACAAACCAGCCACCTTATTCTGCGACAGCAAATCCGCTATAGCCATAGCGGAGAATCACGTCTTCCACGAACGCACCAAACATATTGACATCGACTGTCATATCGTTCGGGAGAAACTTAACCAAGGCCTCATTAAGCTTCTGCCCGTATCCTCCGCCAATCAAGTGGCCGATGGTTTTACTAAGCCTCTTGGCTCTCAGATGTTCCAGACCTATGTATCTAAGCTGGGCGTTCAAAATTTACACGCTCCAGCTTACGGGGGGGTATTAGAGCATGATGTAGAAGGGGATAATGTGAATTAGTCGAGGGCCTTCTGGTCTTTGATCATCTTGGCAGTTCCAACGGCTTTTGCCGCCCTTTCTTTGTATATATGCTCTTCTTGTATTCGTCTAACAGAATGAATGAAAACCATTCTCATCATCCTCTTATCTCAATTCCTCTCTGCTTTTTCCGTTCATCTCCTTGGCTGATCTCCGACACCAGCAAATCAAACTACATCTGAAACGAAAGACTAAATACGCATGTCTACATGCAACTTGAGAGACCCGAGATAGAAGCAAGAGATTCAAATAAAAGCTTAATTTGCAGCTACGATGAAAAAATAAGGTTCTTTAGTAATGAAAATCTTGCAATCAATAATAGATAAGTGAATTTCCCTCTTCAATCATATAGTTAGTCAAAGAATGCTGAATTTCACATTACACTGAAATTTACAAGATTTCAAATATTTTGATAATCCAAATATTGAGTTATATCGTGATGATACCCTAGAGCATATCTATACTTTGTGGACAAATTGGAGGTCACTTTTGAATATAAAATTTCTGAGACCTTGCATCAAGTAAGACCGAGGCTTTAAAAAGTGTTCCACCTGGAGTAGATGTTGAAGATTGGAAGTGGTTTGTCACTAACAAATTTATGACAGAAAAGTTTCAAGTATGTTGATCTGATATGGTAATGACGGTTTTATATATTATAAAAAAATATTTTTTATTTAAATAATCACTTACATTTGAAAGTTATGCAGAAAATCAGTTAGCAAAACACTAAGAATAGGTCAACATCAGATATGGGAATGCCTATCGCACAGGGAGTAACCCACATAGAGAAATCATATTGAAAATGTACTAAAAAAAACAGTTCTGCTAGTTATCTATGAATTTTTTTTTCTTTTTTACCTAGAATGACATTTGTTTTTCTCAACTTATTGGGAGGTAAAGATTCACAACCGCCTGACTTGGGAGTAATTTTCTTAAAGACTAGAAGCAAAATTGAAAAATTAAATGGGACAAAAGAAGAAGAAAAATATGTAAGCTAAGTGTCATTATTTAGCCTTTCTGCATTAATCTTTTTATCTTGATATACTTCTGCATTAATCTTGTTTACTTGTATTAGAATGAAATTGTGAAGATTATTAGGTCTAACCCATCACTTTCAAACCTTGAAATTGTTGAAAAACATTTTGGACAACAACGTCATGGTCATGTATATGGTTATGGGGTGGAGTGAAGCGAAAAAACTTAAATGACACAAAATCTATTTACATCAAAGAACTAGAGGCTAAACTCCATGAGAAGGATGAAGAAAACCGTGACCTTAAGAAGCGCATGCATATATTTGAAAGTAGGTCGATCCGAATAGAGAATGGAGATCCACCATTAGTTACAACTACAACTACTAGTGATGACATCCAATAGGTACATAAAGTTAATGGAGAGAAACCTTTAATGTTGTTTATTATATAAGGAAATAACTAACTGATATTATTTTTTGAGTTCCTTATACAAAATGACTAAATTTTTATTATTGCAGGGTGCTTAGAACTCAAGATATGAACATTAAATAGCGAAATTTCACAGAAATTTTGCACAAATTCAAACCCTAATTCCCCAACCCTAGCTTAAATCCAAAATTGTTTAGCATAAACACACACATTGATACAATCAGATAACTTTTGGATGAATTTGACAGCTTATTACATTACAATAGAAAAGCTAACCTTAAAAGCTAAACCTCAGTTCTTCACGGCGGCGGCGGTTGGACCGACGACGACAGAGGATGGAGGCGGCGATGGCGGCAGAGGTTGGACACGGCGACGGCGTCGAAGCTTGGACGCGGCGGCGGTAGGATAATACCTATAGTTTCATTTTATATACACTATAGTTTTATTACAACACAACTACAGTATTGTTTTGATATAACTACAGGTTCGTTGGATAATATACACTCAAATATGTGAAATTATTATTCAGTTTCATTTGTATACACTGTAGTTTCATTTCAACACTTCTATAGTTTCGTTTCAATTCAATTGCAGTTTCATTTGATAATATAAAAACAATATGTGAGACAGTTTCAGTTTAGATACACTGTAGTTTCATTTTGTAATTAACACACCAAAAATACGCGCTCCGTTAAGCCTATAACGGCTGTCATTTCTTTACTTAAAGAAACGGCGCCGTTTTTGCATCATGGTCTACAAAGCTTTGTGGACCGTGGTCCATGATATAATTGCTAAAAAACCAGGCTACCCACAAGTATATTGATAAGTACGATTAATATATTTAATTTAGATAGTTTATTATAATAAATTAGTTTTATTTATTTAATATTATATTTATTTTAAACTTTATTTTATATTTTGTATTAATATAATAGTTATTTGAATAATTTAAGCTTAACTGTCATTTTTGGGCCATGGGGAATACATTTGTTAATTAATAAGAGTTGGGGCAAGGTGGAATTAAAGTAGTTAATTCTTCTTTTTTTTTTTTTTTTTTTTTTTTTTTTTTTTTTTTTCTTTTTTAATTTCAGCAGCCCAAACTACACATGCATGATGCAACCATGTGCACCTTGCATGGTGCACACGGTTGTAAAAACGACGTCGTTTTGACGTCCGACCTTTAAAAAAAAAATCAGAATTGCATAACTACACATCCATAACTTCATAACTATAAATCCATAATTGCATAACAACAAATCCATAACTTCATAACTATAAATTCAGAATTGCATAACTACACATCCATAACTTCATAACTATACATTCAAAATTGCATGCATAACTATACATCCATAACTTCATAACTATACATTCAAAATTGCATAACTACACATCCATAACTTCATAACTATACATTTGAAATTATAACTTCATAACTATACATTCAGAATTCATGCATAATTAGACATCCATAACTTCATAACTACAAATCCAGAATTGCATAACTACACATCTATAATTTCATAACTATAAATATAGAATATGAAATTATAAAATTATGAACATATGTTTACGTAACTAAAGGCAATCGAAAATGATTTTTTTTTTATTTAAGTAAAACGATGCCGTTTTTTGCATCCGGTGCACACAGATGGACAACATAAATTGCCCCGTTTAATATATTTGTCCTTTCTTTATCTTTTTTTCCCTTATAAGCTTTTTACGTACGTAGACACCAGCGAAACTTCTTCCGAGCGTCTTCTGTGAACGCAGCGACGACATCGGCAATGGGAACTCCGTTCGCGGTCTGCTGCGATGAATGACTCCATGGGCGAACAACTTCTGCGACTGCTTCGAACTGCTAGTCTGCTACCACAAACGGACGAAATCAACTGGAGCTTATTTTCTTTGGTGCGTAGTATTTAGAAAATAAATATTATTTATTTTCTAGGTTTTATGTGGTTGAAGAAATTGATTCAATTTGAGGATGTTAGGGAAATTAGGATTATTTTTAGCTGATTAGGGTGCTGAAATTAGTATAAATAGGCCTGAATTATTCAATAGAGGACAGTCAGTACATTTTATTATGATGTGTTGTTAAGTTTATTTTCCAACTCAATAATAATTGAAGTTTTAGTTCTGTTAGAATTGTGAGATCTAATTTGATTTTCTTTTATGCTACACTATTTATATGCCTTCTATTATCTTGATATTACTGCTTTGATTAATTGTACAAAAAGGATCTGTTGTTCAATTATCAATCCAGTAAATTGCCATTTCGAATTCTTAAATCTGTAATTGTTTAAGTGTTCTAAACCTTAGTCGTAAAATAACATAGTTGATTATAAAAGAGATTTTCAATCTTATGTTATGGAGATGTATAGTCTAGTTTAAATGGACTGAGCTTGCGAGTCTGTCGGCTAAAATTGGTAGTCTTTCTAATTCTTAATGCTGATAGTTAATTAAATCCTAAGGGCTTATTTAGGGTTGTTAATTATCTAGAGAAGTAATTGAAGAGCCTGTTTTGATTACCGATAAAGTAAGGAGAGATATGTTGTTAGATCGAGCTTGTTAATAACAATAACCAATTTGGTGTAGGATAAAAGAATTTACACTTGGCTAAAGTGTCATCTAGCACCATGAACCATATTTGATTATTCATCCCGCACCATGAACTTTCATATCGTATATATCAAGCCACAAATCAAGAAAAAAAAAATCACCTAGAACTTTTAGCAGGTTATCATATCTTCCTGTTGACATGGCCTGATGTGGCATTTCTCTTTACCTTATGTTGTCCATGTAAGCATTTACATATTTAAAATTTAAAAAACAAAAAATTATTATATTAAAAAAACTATAATTTTCTTCTCTTTATTTTCATAATTTATACTTTTTCAAATTTTCAATCCCAATGTTTCAACTTTCTTTTGTTTTTTCGAGAATTCATATTTTTTGGCTAATTTTTTGTTTAGTATTATTCTAGTTTTCCTAATTTATAGAAATGCTAATTTTTTTTGTTTAGTATTTTCCCACATAAATATATCCATCAGCACTTTGAACAATAGTTATGTTGTGAAACCGAATGCACCATGCATGGTGCATACGATGCAAAACAACGTCGTTTTACTAAAAACGCGCGTCCCACTTAAAAAAAAAAAATTCAGGTTCGATTCTCGCAATAGCATTATTGTGGATATGTAGTTATGAATTTCTAGATATATAGTTATGAATTTCTGGATATATAGTTATGAATTTCTGGATATTTAGTTCATTCATTGTGGATATTTAGTTCAATCATTGTGGATATTTAGTTCATTCATTGTAGATATTTACTTCATTTATTCACTGTGAATATATAGTAATGAATTTATGGATATATAGTTATGAATTTCTGGATATATAGTTATGAATTTCTGGATATTTAGTTCATTCATTGTGGATATTTAGTTCAATCATTGTGGATATTTAGTTCATTCATTGTGGATATTTAGTTCATTCGTTGTAGATTTTTACTTCATTCATTAACTGTGGATATATAGTTATGAATTTATGGATATATAGTTATGAATTTATGGA